GCACTCAAGCTTGATTGCATTTATGATATTTGGTGGTTCGTCATGCATCTGTTTGATTTGCTAACTGAAAATCTTGCTTGAGATGTTAAATTTATACATGGGAGCATGAGCCCTGCACACATACACGTTCGCAGTATGCATACTTCCTGCTTTTATGCTTACACAAAGGCACGCTCATTAGAACCTTCCTCAATGCCTTACACTCTTAATTTCTGTTTTGCTCTTTATCTCTAGTGTTCATGATAAAACGATAGGAATTAGACACAGTGATTACAAGCATCTCCGCAGAGTTCATCCAGTGAACAAAATGCTTTATGCTATGCAACTGTGGCACAGCTCTGTATAGCATTTCACATGACGAGTCTATGAAACGTGACTTCTGAAAACACCTTTGAGTGAATGCACTGTAACCAGAACATTATTCAGAGAGGGGACTTCCAAGAGTAAGTACTCAGTATACACGTACATTATCGCTTCTCCTGAAACATGTTTTAATCATGTCTTAATGTTTATAACTGTGTAAACACATCCTGATGTGATCCAGGGCATTCTGTGAGTGGGATTTGGCAGAATGCCAGCGCTAGGAAAAGGGAGGCACAAGGAAAACCTGATGCCACAAAAGGAAATAAGAAAGTCTCCCTGTTGATGGGGAAGTCAAACAAAGACAGATTGGATTCCAAACGGAGGTAATAATAAAACTTTCTCAACGTGGGTGAAAAAGAAATCAAAAAGTTAAAGCAATTTAAAGGAAAGAAAACAACAAATACTTATTTTCTGGGAGGTACTCATGTATCTATTTTTTTTTCTCCTTTCAGAGGCCCTCGCAGTGAGATTACAAATAAAATCAGCAGGAAAAAGCACCCCGAGAGCACAAATATCTCAGGAAATAGGCTTAATCTACTTCATAGAGCTGGACTAAGCCTCCCTTTCCTTTTTACTTTCCACTAAAAAAACAACAACAACAACATTTTGTCTCTACAGGAATCTGACTCATAAGCCACACCCACTAGTACGGTCAAAAAGAAACCGTAACTAGAAAACAAGAATATGCTTATATAGACATTCTTGACATCTGGAGTCCAGATCTCAAGAGGGTCAGTGGATACATGCCACTATGTACATCTGCATGCATATGAATTTATAGTATCAACATATGATTTGCTTCAGTAAGACTTTAAAACCAATGTCATATCAATAGAAAACAGAGAACATCTGCATCACTACTGTTTAATAAATGGAAGGGAAACATCTGAGGACCTGGGGTCAGCATGGGTGAGCTGTGACGCTGTAAGAAGCAGCAGTGATCACATGTGAAATCCTCCCTTTGCCTTTGCAAAGAAAGCCTGCAGGAAGTACAATAGATCAAAAAAGAACAAGTGAGGGTATAAGAGAACTAAAAAGCAAAAGGCTCAAGATTGTGGTGTGTTGAGGGACCCACTGAGTATTCACACTCTGCCACTGTGCTCGATCCATCATCCCAGTGACTGTTCTCTCATTTTTTTTAAAAACAGTGCCTTTTGTGCCACTGTGTTTGCTCGAGTGGCAAAGTTGTTGCAGTAATTATGACAAAGGCCATAGTTGGACCAATAAAACAGGGAACCTTAACGCAGGAAACTCTCATGTGCATTTCCTGTTTTAAAGTGAGAATCTGCGCTCTTTCTTTTAAATCTTCCATAACATTAACCGCGAGTTAATTGCTGTAATTCACTCAGAATCACTGCAGCGGAAAGAAGATTGTTATTTCCACCTGCTGTAATTTATATTGTGCCATATGCCTCTGTTCTGGGTTACACATCCCCACCCTTCCATATGCACACATGGAAACTCCAGAGGTGGGAAGACCCACCACACACAATAAGAGTGGGCATCGGTGACAAAACGTTCAAAATCACTTAAATCGCTTTTCTTTCCCATTGTGATGCTTGATTTCAAGCTTCAGCAGGTTGACTTGACATATCTGCATCCCTAAATGCATTTATTTGCTGACATTTGATTGACTGATTAGGCCTAACCTTGGTTTTTATCATATATACATCAGATCATCTTACTGCCGCACCCACTTTTTTCCAGTAGTTTCTCCATAGTAAACTTGTGCAATAACTTACAAGTAAGAATAACCACAGTATAACCAGACAGTTAAATCTGTGTTGAAGTATTCTTCCCATTGAATATTACTGCTGTTGCACAGCTTGCTCTATCAGTGGAGAGAAGAGACAGAAATTCTGTTCATTTCTCTGTTCCGGCTTTGGTTATTGTCTTCTCCTTGAACCTGGCATGTCTCTTCTTGAGCGACTTCGCCTTCAGCTGCCCACTACACTAATAATGAAAACAGTTAAAGAAAGAACTTGTCAGCAATGTTTGATAAGTTCTTTTATCAATTGAACTATTTTTGACTGGTTATGAAAACATCCATGCAAATCCCATTTGCACACAAATGGTGTGGATACAAGACATGCAGCAGCTTGACTGACCTAACCTGATTTCTATGAAAGATTTTTAGCCAACAGCTGTCCACATACTTGCTTGACTTAATATCTTTAAAGTTTGAACTCATCATTAACCCGTAAATCTGTCTCTTTTGACTTTAATTCATGTTTATAATGTCAGTAATAATAATTATATATTTAGAATAACTAATCACTTATTTGTCTGCTTCACTTGGAACACTGCCTAATATCACATTATAATGTTGTCATATGTTACAGAAAATATTTGTCTTGCCTAGTGACTCAGACTTGACTCAGGGCTACAGACAGTATGTGGATAATTAAATTTCCATTTTGTTTCCAAGCTGTTAATGGGTAAATCATAAAGCATGCAACTTTAACATAAAACTAAGAAGGAAATGTTGGAAATATTAGTTAATGTGTCTCAATTTACTTTAAAACAAACGTTATTTCAACATTTACAGTATATACTCTGGCTACTGTGTTCCTTAAACGCACTAGAATTCATTCAGTGTGTAAAACTTAAATTGATGAATTTTACCCGCTTTAAAATTGTGCTTCAATTGTCAAAAAAAAAAAAACCTTTTAAAAAAACAACTCAAACACAGAGGGAAAAAATCAACTCCACCCAAGTGTAAATCTGTTTGCCACATCTGTATAAAGTATCATGTTCACATAACAGATAATCAAACTAGAAAGACCAACAAATGGAAAAGAAAATATTAGAGTGAAAAACATCATCCATCAGGAAATTTACTCAACGCCAAGAGAGTGACAGGTGCAGATAAAGGTTTGACTACACTAAAGCATCGGTTCAAAACCAGCTTTCATGCTTGAAATAATAAAGTCAATCTTGGATTACTGAGGCTTGTTGTCATGACAGGTTAAAACAGCCAACTCTTGAAATAGAAGCTCTGAGATACCAAGATGCCAAAACACTTTAGTATCACGCAGTCCTCCCACATTCCCAATGTTCTGTTACAGAATCATTTTCTTCCATTTGAAGTGGACCCCTAGAGTCCAGTCTAAACAATCTGATATGGTACAGCTTGCTCGCTCGCTTTTCCTCTCCCCTCTCATACTTCTAGCATGACCTAAGCCTTCTACCGCTGGCCAAAAGAAGCATGGCATTGACATCCTAGCAGCTCTAGAAATTTGTTCCACGACTTCAGGGGGGCAACCTAAAACCTTCCTTCCTAGCAGACCATACAGAGTGCAGAGGTGCAGCAGCCATAATGTGGTTTAGTTTGGGTGTGTGCAGTGTAATGAGGTGTAGAGATGTGCTATCTTTTACAAAAAAACACTAAATCTACATTCCCCTTCACTCACTTTCAGATTCAACTCTTTGTCCTTCCAATTAACAAAAAAATACAACTTTGGGTATTCCGACACTGCACAGAGAGAGGCAGGTTTGTCCAAAGGTCACCTGCCTGTCAGGACCTCTGCTATGCACCCCATGCATAGACTGTAACTGAGAGAAAAGACATAATGTCAAACAGCTACAGGGAGTGCACAAACATCTCACACAACATGAGCTCTCCAAACAAAAACACATTGTACAATTAACTTTGCATCATTTGCTGGATACATGAGATAAAGACTTATAATGAAAGGAATTTGCCAGGGGAACTCTCAGATAGTCCGATGTTGACGTAGAACCTTCTGGTTTTGCTTTGTAATAATAAACTGAATAATAATTACAAGACAAGGACATTAAGAGCATGTACACAGTTTATGTTAACCCTATCACACAGCCCAGTTTGTGATTCAGTCGGTGAATCACAAACTGGGCTAAAAGTCTTTTACCCCCAGAGACATGACACTGTGATGTTCTGCAGCTGTTCAGTGATGGAGATAAGGGGTTAGTAAGTTTTAAACATTGCAAAGGCAAAATTCCAGCAATTTCGGGGGAGGGGGGTTAAAGAAAGCATATGCAGTGCTCTTATGGCATATATCTTTTTTAACCTCCTAGGACCTGGCGTCCACATATGTGGACATCACATTTTGGGTTATTTAGACCAAAATACTCAATCTTGCTCTCCAAGGGCCTGATATCCACTTACGAGGACATTATACTGCAACTATTCTGTCGAAATTTTAAATGAATATCTCATATGTGGCTCTCATTTTTCTTAGAAACAAAAATTAGGTAAAACAAATATCAGGTAGTTCTTTGTTTTTACATTCATCAGGTCCCAATATGCCCAAATATCACAGAGAAATTAAAAATGCAAGCCAAGGAAGAATTCCGGTCTTAGGAGGTTAAGGTTACACTTCCGCGCAGTAGACTATGGGGGGTACTGCACAGAGGAGGTGTCTATTAGAAGCTGTCAAGTTATCGGACCATATTGTCTATCGTTTACTTGCATATATATATCAAAAGGATTAATTAGATAAAGTACGCAATTATGCTTTAGTATAAGAAAAATAAACTTTTTAAAAATCTATAAATCAGCTTGGGAACCTTCTTAAATCATAGCAACAATATGACCAAATCCTTTTCCCGTCACTTTTCCTGTTATTGTGATTATCCCGCTGAATAAAGATACTCACGCTGGAGTTGAGTCGGTTTTATTCCAAGAGTCTCTTGTGCAGCCGCTTAAGAGCCACTGAGACCGCCACTTAAGGTAATCAAAGCGACTTGACGGGTATTTGTATTAAGCGTCAGGCGGGGTGGAGAACAGCACAGCAGATGAACCTAGGTATGAACGATGTCTTCATTTATAACAAACGCCGGCTCGGTTTCGTCGAAGAACCGCGGAAGTCTGGAGTCTCCATCCAACTGAGCTCTCCTGCGCGTATCACAGAGGAGGAGGTGGAAGAGAAAGGGGAGGTGCACGCAAGTAGCAGGAAACACCACCTCCAACACCAGCAGCAGCAGCAGATTCAGTCTTATCTGCGTTTCAACTTCTTCGAAGTGCTGTTGTGCTGCTGAGTGATATGACCGATAGGATATCAGCTAAAATAGATTGGCGTTTTCCTGCTGGTCGATTGGGGAGAAGGGGATTTTTTTTTAAAGTAGAAGATAGTTCAGCTGTGCGTTAAAAGGGTGACCACTATGGATGCAGCGATTTTATCTATCTGTCTAATGGTTATATTATAAAAGCTAGAGTTTAATCAAATAAGACTTAAGGAACTGCTCTCACTTAATAAATTCACGGTCATTTTAAACGACCTTTTATTTCAGGCTGCAAATCTTTTGCGTGAATACCTTTGTTTCTGGCATTAGACAAGATATTACTAAGGTATTCATTCTTTATTGATAATCACGTTTATAATTTTGGTTGTTTTGTGTGTTTGTTTGTTTTTTTTTACTCTTTACCTGTATTTAACCCGTGTACGGATTCTGACGTGTATCTGCTATTAATTTGTGCAGCTTATGATCGTACTGCTGTCCTTCTTGGCCGGGACGCTCTTGTAAAAGAGATTTTTCATCTCAAGTGTTGTCTTTTTTCCTGGTTAACTAAAGGTTTAAAAAAACTAAACTTTATAAATAAAGAGGGGGGGAAAAATCTATAGTGTTTGGCACCAGTTAATTTTTACTAAATTATATATTTCAGTGTGAATATTTCACACTGCTCAAGTGTCCTCAAGAAACTCCTCAGAGTTCAATAACATGAAATTTCCATAACATATACAGCATTTACTCTAAATGCTCCATTTAATCTAGATTGGCTGCGTCCCTGTGATTTTACTTTCATGAACAGGCCAGTCTCTTTGAATACACAGTAGCACTCCAGCCTTGATATAAAGCGTATTACTATTTAATCTCTACTGGGCGCTTACCCCTTTGAAACAAAGATGAAAAGATGGTGATGCAGAACACAAAGTGGAGGTGAGCTTCAAAAGTCCAACATTCACAAGCTTTTGTTGAATGTTTTTGCTAACTTTTTAGAAGCTGTTCTCATAGTTGCTGTGAACAGAGTTATGCAATCAGGGGTTTTTCAGGGTTGTGAAATATCTAGGATATATTTATATCTGGGACATTTATCACCAGAAAAACTGTCGTGCGCATGAAAGGTCACCGCTGCTAATCTTTAAATGATGTTCTTTTAAATAAATGGGATTTTTTTCCCTTCATTAGCTGTCATGACTCATTCTGTATGAGTAGGAGTCAGTGGGCCTAATGACAAAAACACAAGCTGCTGAAGCTGAAGCGAACTCCAAGTGCACACAAATGTGTGATGGTGGTATTCATCATTTTGTTTACAGAGTACAGGACACATATTTATACAAATTACCACTTATATAATTTACACTTTGCCATCTCTTGATGCTGTGTGAAAAAAATCCACAGGCATTTCAGTGATTATCGCACAGTCTCTTTATCTCACGGAGAAGTGTTTTCCATTTTTTACAATTCTGAGAACAGGCACGAGTGTGTAAGCTGAGCACCTGTGCCAATGCGCTGCCAGCTCAGAGACACATTTTTATCTTGCTGCAGTGTTTGTTACTAATAACACATCGTGGTATATGTTTTCTTACTTTTTCAGCATGATGCGTGTTTGTGTGTGTCAGTGTTGTTACATAACGACTGGTTAAGAAGCAAGCACTTGTTCTCTGATTACACAAAAAGCCCAAAAGTGTTATTTAACTGCACTCTAACAGGGCTGTCATTTACATTACATCCATGTCCAGACACATACATCTACACAATTAGATCCAACCATGATTTTGGACACTGACACAACTTTTGCTGTTTAGTCGTGTTTCAAAACACATTTAACTCTTTGGTATGTGAATAACGGGAGTTTAAAGTGGAGACTTCCAGCTTGAATTTAAGGGCCTGAAAAAATGTGGCATCAGCCTGGGAGGACTTGAAGCTGCATATGACATTCTTATTAGGTGCTCGTTGCTAGTACTGAGTTGGACCTGCTTTTGCATTAAGAACTGGCTTTATTCTTAATTGCAAAGATTCAAAAAGGTGCTGGAAACATTCCTCAAAGATTTTTGTCCATAGTGACACGATAGCATCTTACAGTTGCAAACTCTGTAAACTTTAGAGATGGTTGTGCTGAAAAATCCCAGCAGATCGGCAGTTTCTGAAACACTCAGACCCGCACATCTTTCACCATAAGTCACCTTTCTTCCCCATTCTGTATCTCAGTTTGAGCTTCAAATAGTCATCTTCACCATGACTATATTCATAAAAATAGATATAGATATATTTATTTATTTATCTAACACTGGGGAAATTTACTTGTTACATCAGGATCAGAAAGAAAAAGTGAATGAGAGATATATTAGAAAAACATAAAAATAGAAAATACATAATTTTTTAAAAGTACAACAAAAGATGATAATTCTGCTAAATGCAATAATAATAAAAACAATAAAGAGAAATTTGTACATTGCACTATATACACTAAAAGACATGTAACAAAGATGCAGTGGGAATCAAAACATATACTCGAGTATTTTTAGTAGGCATCTAGCCTGTATCCTGTGCGTATTTTACAGTCTGACTGCTGCTGGGGTGAAGGTACTGTAATAGTTCTCCATAATGTAGCAGTCTGCTGCTGAAGGCACTGCTCAGGGACTCCACAGTCTCATGGTGAGTGTGAGAGGCATTGAGTGAGGGACCAGGACAGAGCCGGCCCTCTTCACCAGTCTAATATGCAGCTACAAGTGGCGCATGTTGAGTGTATCTGGACCAAACTGTCAAATCACTTTATAAATTACACCATAATCAGTGCAAGATTTTATTTATTTATTTAAAAGTAAAATAAAAGTGTGTTTTGTGAGGCTACGGTGAGCTTGACCTATGACCTTTGTTCAACAAAATCTTAAATCTCAGGTGAAGCTTTGTGCTAAATTTAAAACAACTCTCTGGAAGCGCTTAAAAAGGAAACAACCTGAAAACCTAGTTACTCTGGCCACAGCTGTCACCACAGAGCCCTGAATACACCACTTAACAACAATCAGCCCAATATTCAAACTCCCCTCTTTGGTTTTATTAGTACACGTGGTTTAACAGAGTAGGGGGACTATTGATTAAGGAATCATTTCATTTTATTGTAAATCAGACAAAATAGGAATTGCTGAAGTCATTGACACATTTCCTCTTCTTTAGAGGAAGGAAACTAACTCTTTGTCATGAGCCAACTCCCTCAACATCTTTCATGACATCTGTTTCTTGCAGGGAATAAACAGGGAGAAAAATACCGAGAGGGATGAAATGAAATGTTGAGGGCTGCCATGATGTTCATCTTTGGAACTCCCACCGCTTGCAACTTTAAAGAGGTAAAATAATTAATTTCTGACAAGTGCAAGAGGCTGCCCTAGGAGACTGACGCTGCTATATGAAGATAATGTCTCATTTGAATAAACTGCCTCCTCTTTCAAATGTATCCATATGCATGAGACAGCGAGTCTAATTGCTGTTAATTCCTATTAAATTGATTGTGATTTATTCACATCTCATCGAGATGCACAAGCTGTGTGTATGAATGGAGTCAAGAAGTTTAATTTCCTGCAGTTAATGAATCCGTTTTGATCAGTTTGAATGGATCGGATGAGCTCGTTGTTGATTTTTGTATTCAAACACAAATTTAAAATGGTTATCCATCTTCACAAATACAGTTAATCTCAAGAATTTATAGCCAAACTAAGAGGGAGGCACTATATTAGGGCCAGACTAGAATATTTTGCTGTTTAGTAGATTGCCATAGAAATGTAGAAACTATGATTTATGGATATTTTTGAGCTTTGTGTGCTTTTGTAGCTCACTCCCATAGCAGCTTTTTAAACCACAACAGGCGACTTATTATTATCATAAAATTACCAAAACCAAAATCTGCTTTCCACTACTTACACTACAGTTTCATACCCATAGGGCCCGGCCTTACTTTTAAAAAGACAGAAGTTTATATGTCTCCTAAAATGTTACCCAAAGTCAATTTATTGGTTTTTAACCCATTTGTTTGTCTTTCCACCAAAACCCACTGTGAAACCTCCAAGTCCACATCTGGATGAGACACAGAGTGCTTCATTTCTAAAGACACAACTGGAAACATTGGAAATGATAAATGCAATATTCAAAATGAAACATCAAACCAACTGAACACCAGCAACCGCACAGTAAAACCACATATAATGATATTTAAAAAAACAAAACAGGGAGCACTCTGAGAGCATGGTCCTCCGCCAAGGCAGCTCACTCTCTGGGCAGTATTTACTTTTAATAAGGGAACAGTTTAGTATGTGGTTTGTATTTGTTCTGTTTTCTTTGTCCTTTTTAAACATACTTAGTAATAGTACAGTAAGAATCAGATAAGGAAAGCTTGACAAATGTTTCCTTTACACAAACATTAGTGTTGGAGTAGGTAATGGATAATAGGCTGTCACGGTACAAAGTACAAAATACAAACAAGGCCAGGCTGGAGCCAGAAGTGCAAAACTTTGAGACAAGATGGAAAACACACACACCATGAGAGAGAAAACACAAAGGACCTGAGGAAAACTAAAGGCTCAAATACACACATGAACTAATTAGGGAGAGAGGACACAGCTGGGGAAAATAAAACACGGGTGGACAAAATCTAGCAAAACTGAACATAAAGCACACAAGACGAGGGACGGGGGATAAAATAAAGCAGGAAGTAAGCAAAACATGAGAACACCTACACCAAGGGAGACTTAACAACTGGATACAGGAAACACAGAGAAGGCTAGGAAAAAATAAACCACATGCTAGTTGAAAATGACATAAACTGAAACTCAGGAACTAAATTATAACCATGAAACTCCAGCACATAATGCAAAAAATAATTACAAGAACTTTCCTGGTTCCCCAGTCCTCCTTGGCTGTCTGCTGCAGGTGTTGTTTTCTTTCTGTCTCTCCCTTGTTTTTCTCTCTGTCTCGTCTCTC